AACCATTTTCCAGGGGAAGCACAAATATTGAAAAAAAAAAAAAGTTTTTGGCATCCATGTTCTTAAACTTCGGGAGAAAAATTCAGTGAAAATTTTGACTAAGGCATTCATGTGCTATTGAACCCATCTCAGAACTATGACACAAACTTACTTTCAGGGATTGAGAAGCAGTGGATGGCCGGGACCAGAAATGAGCCATACCCTCCCCACATCCTAAGCAGATGGATTCTAAGACTCAAGCCACCATCCCAGTCTAACCAGAGAAATGAAAGTCTTGGGACTCAGGGATCACGGACTGAGGTATGATTCTACCCCATGAATGTGCTTCATTTAGATTTAGATTTTTTTTTTTTAGATTTTGTTGTTTTTGTTTGTTTCATTTTAATAATGCATTTTCTTTTCTATTTCTGGGTTGATGGCTGGTTGTTCCAGGTTCAGCTGCATTCCAATACCCACCTTCACTCCCACTCCCAGGCCAGGTTATCAGGATTGTGGCTTTTAACCAAGAAGTCTCCATGTGACATAGGCTAAATTCTGATGCAAAGGACAACACTGTGCCTCTCCATCCAGCGCAGAGGATCACTGGAGAGGCCCAGAGTCTGTCCTGCCTCCCCATCTCTAGTCTTCTTGAAAAGATTAAAAAGCTGCTGTCATGTATTTTGGCCCTGGGGGACCATGGAACCTGATAGCCCTAGAGCTGAACCTGAGCTCTTTCATACACAGACCCTGGATGATGGGGGCTCCCATCTACTCCTATTTCTTTTCTTTCAGTTGTGTTGTAGGAATTTATTTTAATTAATCTACAGTTAACTAAAATGGAATTCATGATAAAAATGGAAGATACTTAAAGAACGATGTGGAGAATGGTCTTTGCATGTACTCTAAGCTATCAATGCATGTAAAACTAATGGTTACAGCAAAAAAAACAACTTCACATTAAAATTGTGCTTTTTACTTTTTTTATTTTTTTACACAATTGCAAAGGAAATACATGAAAGGCCTAAAATCTTGATTATTATTACTTTTTGGACCAAATACTCAGTTTCCTGGAAATTTATTGATGTGTAGAACTTCTTACACAATAGACTCTTTCAAGTAAGAAATATTGGGGTTTAAAAAGAAATTAAAACAAAGAAGTGGGTGTTTTAGAAGTGTCCAAAACATGCTCAGAACAAAGAATGAGGGGAAAATGGTTTTAGTCACTGATTATTTCTTTATTATCAAACTCACTCATCCCTCCCAACTCCAACTTACATAATCTTTAAGATAAAAAAAGGTTTAAATATTTTAAAAATAATTAAAATAAATAAAATTCAGGTTTAAAAAAGAACACTCAAGTTAAAAAGCATCTTCACATCACGCTTTGCTATGAACAGATGTGTGAGATGAAATACCGCTGATGTCACAATGGCTTCAAGCTAAATAAAAATTGATTCCCATAACAATAGTGACAGCTCTAAAAGGTGGAGTGGGTTTCTGTTTTTACTTAATTTTAAATTCCTGAAATGGGAGGGGAGAAGCAGGAAGAGGGTGGGGTTGAGAGTTCATTTTCTATTAAAATGTAGAAGTTATAGAAAAAAAAAATCTAAGTGTAAAAATACATGACTGTAATAGGACTTCATAAGCAGTAGCTAAAGAACCCAAACTCTTCAGTGAAATGGCCAATTTATCCAGCAGAAAGTTGGCAAATTCCCATCCATTCATCCTCTTCCAAAAAAAAAAGAGAAAAAGAAATCATAGTGAGAATTTTGATATTTGAAATAGTTCTAAATAAGTTGTCTGTAGGACAACTGACTCAGCTTTCTTTTAGACTATTTCCAGATTTTTCTCTTTTCAAAGATGTTGACTTGTTAACTCATCCTTGCTCACTTGATATCCTTCTCTCTGTACCACTTCCCCTGAGTACAAAGGCAAGTAAGGCTCACAGTTTCTTAATATTCCTCAAAACTGTCTCATTCCCATAAAAGGTCACCTTATAAAAAAGAGTTAAAATTCATAGTCTTTATCGGCCATGTCAATGGCCCAGGCAAACTTCTCTCGCTGAGTTTTGTTATAGATTTTCTCAGTTGGGATCCCCCACTTCTTACACCAAGCAACTGAGATCTTGGAATCTAAATAGTTGAGTTTGGAGGTTCCCAAGGTAATCTGTTTGTTCTCCTTTCTGTCTGTGGCCAGAATCTCCAGTATTGTCAACCACTCCTTCAGCCTCTGCACGGCCTTCTTCTTAGTCTCTGCCACCTTTTCAGATTTGACATTCTTTCGGACTTTGGCCTCGGCTTTGGCACTTTTCAGATCTCTTCGGGCCTCAGCCAGCTGGTCCTTCTTGGCATCAATCTTAGTCTGCAGGTTCGGCATGGACTTCTCAAAAGTCTTTGGTGGTGTTCTCTGATGGTTACACAGAACGGCAACAACTCTGTTAGCTCGGTTGTAAGAAAGTATCTTTGCTGGGATATTTTCATCGGGGTCGATGAGCTCCTTTAGCTGCTGCTGTAGAGTGATGGAGGCATTGTATGTACGGAAGACTTTGGCTGTCAAGCCCTCCACTAGATCTTGAAGGTGTTTATTGAGGATTCTGGTATTCAGTCTGTCAAAAAGATCATCCTCAGGCAGCTTGTTTTCCATAAATAGCTGAAGGTTCTTAAAAACCCTTTTCTCAACAGGGACCTTGTTGTAGTATTGTATGGAATGCTTCCCTAAGAAATCAAATTCAACTCCATATTCTTGGCCATCTATCTCTGGATGTAAGTTAATGTGCTCTACTCGGAGGGAGCAGCAGCCCACAGTATCAGCTGTCTCCCCTTCTTTTTCATTACCGGCTCTCAGAGCAAGTTTGTCAATGAAGTATAATGCTACAGTCCTCTGCCGGACTTTCATTTCCTTGGAATTCTAATTTTCTTGATGTTGTTCCGGATCTTGTCTACACACTTTTTCAATCTTCAGGTTGTCTCATACTTCTATCAATCCTTCTCCTCCCTGATTCGTGAGCTGGGGTTCAACATAATGTACTTGATGGATCCTTGGATACTCTCAGACCAGGACGCCAGTCAGGTGACCTTGTGATCGTGTCGAACTTCTTTCCATTTATGTCCAGGGGGAGGAGAAGGAACTTTGGCACCTTTGCTGCAGTTGATAATTATATCTTCAGGCATAATCGGCCTTTTCAACATTCCCATCTTGGGATGGTTGCCACGGCCCCTGAAAAGACCTGGAGGCTCAATCTTAAAGTCGGCAATTCTCTCTCTGTGATTGTCCATCCCACAGAAACCATACTCTTTAATAGCCTTTCATTTTCATCTCTGATTTTCAGCTTCTCTTCCTTGCTCATTTGCTTCCTTGCTTCTGACTGGGCTTTGAAATACTGGCTTATCTGGTTGAAGTCACACTTGCTGAGACTGGTGATATTATTTCTCTCTTCATTTGTCATTTGCTTTCTCCAATCCTTGAAGAAATTTTCCCTAAAGGTATTCTGAGTAGTGTATTCATGGTCAGGCATTTTCTGCTTTGGGACTCAGCTTGGGACTTTACCATCATAGTAGAACTTGATATTTTCTGGCAGAGGCTCATAACGTGGAGCCAACACAGAACTTTTATGTTCCAGGAATTTCCACTTAATGTCTTCGGTCTGGGGCTCTTCCTCCCACCATTTCCATTTTTGCTCCTGCTCTCTCTTCAGCTCGTTATCTGCATCAGGAAATTTGTTATCTTTGTTCTTTATTTTTATTTTATTTTATTTTATTCATTTATTTTTGCTTTGTTGCCCTCCTCTTCCTCTGCTTTCTGCTTCTTCACCTTTTTGATGTCTTCTGGTTTTATTTGCTTGGTTTAGAATCGGCAGCAGCATCCTCTCGAGGTCTCTTTCAAGATTTGATACCTTCTTTAGATCAAGCAAAATAACCATCATTATCTGGTACATCTTTAATACGAGGTGGACTAGAGGAACCATCCTCTTTCTTCTTTATTTTTGCATCTCCAGATGGTTTTCCTTTTTCTTCCTTCATTTCTCCTTGTCTCTATCTTTGTGTTTGTCTTTTTCTCTGAGCTGCTATCTTTGTGTTTGCTTTTCTCTGTGTTTCTTCTTGGAAGTATCTTTGTGCTCACCATTGCTGTGCTTGGACTTTTCCAGGTCTTTTCTTCTCCTCCTAATGCTTTTTGTCTCTGTGTCCTTGATTTGTGTGTTTGGGAGAATCACTCACTTGGAAATCCTCATTGATCTGAAAGTCACTGTGTAGCTGATCCATGTTCTTGTTGGCCTTAGCCATGGGTGGGAGTGGGAAGGGTGTGGGTGAGAGGAGGCTCAGACTCCAGGGCGGACCCTTCTGCTAGAACTGGTCACAGGAACTAGTGCTGCTTGCTGTCTCCATTGTCTTTATCCAGTTCCCAGTTAAAGTACCAGGTGGGAAATAAATGCTTGAGGTACCAAGGTTTGACCCAAGCACCTCAGCAAAGTTCTAGGACAGAGGTAACAGCTAGTAAGAATGAGAGTGCAGACCAGGAGTTACAAATTTGGAATGTGTAATGCAATTCTTAAATAAAAATATACATTTTTCTTTAAAAAAAAAGGAACGTTAAGAAGAAATAATAATTAAAAAAGAAAATAAATATGAATAAGAAATAAATGGGTAATTGGTATTCAATTACTTATGACAATTTAAGGGGAAAAAACACTTTGAAAGAGAGAAACAGTGACATGCAGCACTAATTGTGTGACCTTGGATGAATCATTGAACCTCTCTGAGCCTCAAATGGCTCCAACTATTAAAATTTCCCCCATTGCTCTTTCTTTAATAGATAGCCGGGGCCATCTGCAGTCATCCTGATCTATGTGATTTATGAAGCCACTGGACCCAGATGACTCTAGAAGAGAAAGTGAGGCTGGTGACCCTGCACAGCCCTCCCTCACCCAAAGCCAGTTTCATGCAAGTCATGCCATCATATCCCTGATGTCATGGCCCTCTTCAAGAATGAAAAATCACAAAATGTGAGTAGTCTGAACTATCCAAATGGGGACCCAGCTGGTCAGTTCCAGTTGGACAACTCAGCTCCTCTTCTCCTCTCCTCTCCAAAAATGGGATATCATACCCTTACCTGAAGGTGTACCGCCCAAAGGAAGGTAAATATTGATGGCTGAAACCAACTAGTTATCTTGGGGTTTACTGGCTAGATTTCTTTCTCAAAGACCTTGGCTTAAACCCAATTCACTGTGGATCTCATTAATTGGACAACAATAGGTCTGTGCCCCAATCACCAGTTAATGGTTATTTTTTGGGCCCTCCTGGCTCAGAGTGAATGTAAATGACATTTGTTTCTCTTTTGGCCAACAAGCCTGAGGGTCTTCCCCTCCAACTTTGATTTTTTTTATTGATTTATTAAAGGGGCCATCCCTTGACTCACTTCTTCAACAAGCCCATTCACTGAATGGATGTTGCCTCACTCAAAGTGACAAACCACACAATGTCTAGCCTTAACAGAGCAGTTTTGGCATGAATTGCCTAGGTGTGAACACCATTTGAACACTTAGGCCCATTACCAGATATAGTTACAAATGTGAGAACCCACATAGGTGAGAACTCCCCCAAAGCAGAGGCCAGAAGTGCTACCTAGCCATAGGAGTTTACACTTCGGTGATAGAGTGAAGGGTGGGGCTAAACAAGGGAAGCCCTATAAAAGAACCCAGCACTTCAGTCCTGCACTCTTCTTTGCTTCCTGAGCTCAGAAGAAAGAGCTACAGTTGCCCTACTTGAGTGGACTATCCTTGAAGAAAGGACATGAGAGGGTAAGCTTCTCTTGAAAAGATTTTTCTCCACTATACATTTAGAAAGATGGAAATATCTCAGTTCAGTAAATTGATTGTAACTTTAGGAAATGACAAAATATATACAAATTTAATTAACGAGTAAGCAGTTTTGGGGAAAATAATAGTGATTTGGTGTTTTACCTACCTTATTGATATCTCAAATAATTAAAAATGTAACTGTGCTGACCCTTGGAAATGAGATATTATCCCAAAAGTAACAAATAAGCTAAGCTAAACTAGTAACCTTTGAAGGACTTAGAAGAAACCAAAGAAGTTTATTTTTCAGAACATGGTGACCCTGATTTGGGAGATAAGAGGAGTAGAAGGTAGGAGGAATAAATTGCAGCAAATGGGTTCACCTCTAAGGCTATCAGGTTCCATGGTCCCTTGTGCCACAATGTATGAATAAATGACAACAGCTTTTTATCCTCTTCAGGATGGCTAGAGATGGGGAGATAGGACAGACCATCGGCCTCCTCAGTTATGCTCTGTTCTGGATGGAGGGACACAGACATGTTTCCTGGATAAAATGGGAATGGAGCTGTACCTAGAAAAACCAACCATCAACACAGAAATAGAAAAAGAAAGTTTATTGTAAAAAAAAAAAAAGACTAGAGATGAGGCACACCCATAAGGTGGTGTATCATATTTCTCAGCCCATGATGTCTGAGTTCTTGGACTCCCATTTTCCTGGTTATGTTGGGAGTGTCGCTTGAAACTTGATATCTGTGATCCATTTACTTAGGATATGGGGAGGATATGGCTCCATTCTGGTCTAGGTCATCCACTGCTTCTTAATTCCTGCAAATAAATCTGTCCCATAGGTTTGAGATGTGTTGTATTGCACAAGAATGCCCTCGTCAAAATTTTCACTGATTTTGTCTCCCCAGGCCTAGGAACATGGATGCCAAAAACTTGCTTGAAAGCCTCAAAGTGGAAATCACCTGTTTCATGTGCTTCGGCTATTTCACTGACCCAGTGATTGTCAAATGTGGCCATACCTTCTGCAAAGAGTGTCTTCTCAGCTGCTGGAAGGAAGACCATAAACCAATAATCTGCCCAAATTGCAAGGCAATCATTAAATTTGGAGACTTCTTGTACAATAGGAGGCTGCAGGATCTGGCTATAATTGGCAAGATGCTTAGACCTCATTTTCTGCAGAGCATCAGGGACCTAACCATCTGTGAGAAACATGGGAAAGAAGAGACCTTGTTCTGTGAGGAGGACTACAGACCCTTGTGTGGGCCTTGCTTTTTAACCACAGAGCACAAGGAGCACAAAGTCCTTTCCCTGGAAAAGGCTGCTGGTCAGTGCATGGTAAGATGGTCTGTTCCCTTTCAGTCTCGAAGAGGTAGAGTATCTGCTCATTCAACTGTCTCCATGATCAGTTGGGGACATTCTTGGTGTAAAACAGAGACTGGGCTAAGACTTGTTTTTTTTTTTTTTTCTTGCAGGAAAAGCTCCAGGCAACATGGAATATTTTAAAGAGTAAGAAGGAGAAATTTCAAATGGAATTGGAATGGGGGAAAATGAGAGTGGCACAGTGGGAGGTAAGTATCTGGCTTTTTTTTTTTTTTTGTAGTGATAGAAGTGGAAGGTGCCATGGCTCCTGAAAGCTCTTCTCAGCTGACATTGTAACTGATGTAAAGATGCATAAGAAATAATTTCTATAAAGGAACAGACTCAGATTAAGGGTGAAAGTTCTCAAAATTGTTGTTCATGAACATTTTGATTCTCCAATAACAGTAAACCTTTTCAAAAGGATAATTTATAGGGGAGAGAGGAGGGGAAAATTTAGAACCCCAAATTTTATAAAAGTGAAAGTTGAAAACTAAAAATAAATAAATTAAAAAAGAAAATAATTATCTACATATATATGTATAAGAAGAAAAATATTCTAGTTGGCTTTAGACAGTTTTGGAAAGAATCAGTGTCTAGTATACATTTGGGCACTCTTCATTTAATCCTTTGTATAAAAGACTGTCTCTGGCCTTTCCATCATGAGCTATTCCTTAGGAAAAGAGTCTTAAAGAGAGACTGTACCTTACTGTGCTACAAGGGAACAAATTGAGGCAGGCAGAGAGTAAAGCTGTGCCTGTCCACGTGGATCATGTATGCACTCAGGAGGACAGAAGCACGCATGTTTGATGCTGACCTGGACCCTGACACTCATTGACTTTTCTTCCCTTCCTTCATCCCCATTCCTTGGGTGATAGGTGGAGGGCCAGTCTCTCAAAGACTTGGTTGTATCTGAATATGAGAAAATGCACCAGTTCTTTGTGGAGGAAGAACAGCTCCGATTGCAAAGCCTGGGTGAGGAAACGAGACACCACGTGGCAGCCGAGGAGAGCAAGGCCAGCCAGGCCCAAGACACCCTCAATTTGCCCGCGGACTCAGAGAAGCGGCCTGTGCGAATGCTGCAGGTGAGTGCTTGGCCTAGAAGCCTAACTCTGCTGCAGATGGGAGCAGTGGGAGCTGCTGCCCTGTCCCCTCCAGAGGGCTGCAGGAAGGGCCAGTTCCCTTTTGTTCATTTGCCTCTCCCAAACACGTTTGTGCTTTTCTGGGCAGGGCTTGGTGGGGATCCGGGGTAGCCAGACAATAAGGAGAGCAGGGGTCCTCAAAGGGTGAGCCGTGAAAGCCTGAGGGGGCTATGACCTTAGCTAGGTCTGCTCCATGTGGCTGAGAACTTAACACTGTAGTCAAGTATGAGCATGCTCACTCTCCAGTAGTGGGCCATGGTTCCTCAGAGCAAAGCATAATACTGTGTGCTGAGCAAAAAGAAAAAGAAAAAAGATCCATTATCAAAGTAAACATTTATAAAGGACATACTAGTCACCTGGTACTTTGTTAGTCCCTGGGAAAGAAACTCCAAGGAATTAAACAATCCCCTCACCCCAGGAGCTTTTCATTTAATCCTAAAATAAGATGAGGATACTTATAAGTAAATAAAGAGGGAATAAAAGAAGAATCCACAAAAGTTAATTTGAAAGCTGAGACTATAGAAGTTGAGGATTGGGAAAAGGTGAAGGAGAGGATGGAATTATCCTAGGTCTTGAAAAAGAGAACACCTCCCTGAGGCAGAATTGAGAAGACACTGCATTGCAGGAGTGGGGGATGGCCAGGCAAAGGCTCAGAAAGTTTGAAGACATTATGAAATGCTGGGGGTCACTTTGATTTCAAATAGAGCTTATACTAAGACTTGGTGTTTCTTGTGGGAGGAGACCCAAAGGATATGGAATACTTTAAGGGGAAAAAAGGATAATATTCAAATAGAATTGGAAATGGGTGTGAGAGAGAAGTGCAATGTAAAGTCAGTGTCTCTGTCTTTTTCTTAGTAATAAAATTGTAAGTTTGATTTTTCTTCAAGGCCCTTCATAGAAGGAATAGTCAATGATGAATAAGGAAGAAAAAGTCCAATTGTTTAATAGAAGAGATTTGTATTAATAAGCAAAAGTAATAATATATTGTTGTTATTGATTCACATTTTACTGCCTATATATCTGTAGTAGAACTTCATTTTTAAGCTAATCTACTAAAATACGAACAAGAAGAATCAGTTTTCTGATGAGCTTTGGACAGTTTTGGAGAGAAACTCTCCATGCTGTACATTTGAGGACTCTTCCTGTAAAAGAAGAATCTTCCTCACTCCTTTCCATCATTAAGTACTCAGGAAAAGGGTTATTAAAGAATCAATTTATTTTAATGAACTTCTAAGTGGAAACTTTGTGGAAGACTAAAAAGAAAAGGTGTGTCTGTTGTCTTAGCTCATGAATCTGCTCAGATGGGCAATGGGAATTACTAGCTAGCACTCATGTTTGATGCTGACTGTGACATTTATTGACTCTTCATTTCTTGCCTTTATCCTAATTTCTTTGGTTATAGTTGGAAGGCCAAGCTATGAAACAGTCTGTTAAGTCTGAATTTGAGAAAAAGCACCAGTTCTTGTCAGAGCAAGAACAGCTCCATCTGCAAAGACTGGATCAGGAAATAAAAGACAACTTGGCAAAGTTTGAAGAGAGCAAGGCAAAAATGACCCAACAGATCCACAATCTGCAAATGGCGATGTCAGAAATAGAGAAAAATTTTGAGAAGCTTCCCATTGAAATGCTCCAGGTGAGTGATTGAAACAAAAACTGAGAATGATTAGAACAAGAGAAGAGAAGGTGGGGGGAGGGGTCATGATACCTCTATTCAAGTAATTCCTGTTTAGGCCCATGGGGATTAGACTTGTTTTTCAGAGGACAGAACTAGGGCCAATGGGTTGAATAATAACAATCATTGTTACTGAAATTAGGTTGGTGCTTTAAAAATCCAAAGTGTCTCACTTCTATTGTTTTAACTTTGAGTCACAATAATTCTTTGAGGTTGGAAAGCCATTTATTATTACCCCAATTCTAGAGAAGGACGGCCCTGAGCTTCAGAGCATTTGACAGGCTTGCTTAGTATCACATAGCTCTTTGGTGTCAGAGACAGCATTTGAGCTCATTTCTTGATGCCTCCAAATCTCTAATCTATGTACCAAGGGATGCTCTCACTGTGCAGAGATGTTGTCTAAAATGATTTGGTCTCCCTCTGGAGGTGGTGACTTCCCTACCAGAGGAAGACTTCAAATGTAGGCTGAGAGACTATTTTTCACAAATTCTATAGACATCATTCATGTATCATGGGTAGGCCTAGGTAATATTTAAGGTCCCTACTCATTCTAATATTCTTTTTCCACAATAAACAATCAGTATAACATAACCTCTCTAATGTAGGATAAGGAAGGATTTTTTGTTTGTTTGTTTGTTTTGTTTTGTTTTGTTTTGTTTTTTGCTTCTTCGGACTTTAGGATAACAATAGTAGAGTCAGTAGATCTTTGCTAAGATGATGACCTGGAATGCCACCTTACTTCAATCTTCTGGGCTTTATGCAAATTCCATCCATGGAAGATAAGACAATGTCGCTTTAATCTCAGAAACCACATTAGCCATTATACCCACTTTGATAAAGGATGTGCTGTAGTCTCCCAGACTCCCAACCTTTTTCCAGTTTCCTCATATGCTGTCCTCTTACTCCATGACAGCAATTGGTTGGCTCTGTGGGATGAATTTTCTGTACAAACCCAGGGAGAGGAGACATGGGCAAGAATAGTACTTCTTTAACAATGGGATGATTTCCCCATTTTACAAGGTGACCAGATGGCACCAGGCCAATGAAAAAGTGGCCGTGGGACGATTCTTTACAATTCTAGCATTCCCCCTTTTTTTGCAATAAATGTAGTTTTCTTGGAAAATAGTTGTCAGGGAGAAAAGAGACTGTGGGGAAGTGTGTATGTACTCCCTGAAAAAGACAACATTGTGTGAATTGAGTAAGGAGCAGAAGATTAAATCTTTCATTTGTTTCTTTCCTCTAGGATGCAAAAGGCACATTGGAAAGGTAGGTTTCCATTCTATGCACAGTCTGTGAAGGAGTCTGGTTGGATGAAGGGGCTCATTTGGATACATGGTACTGGAGTACACTGAGATATTTTTTAATCAAGATAGGTCCCTAAGATCTCTATGCAAACTTTTTGGCTGATTGTGTTTTATTTGTAGGAACGAGGAGCTACTTCTTCAAAATCCATTGGTTGCCTCACCCAGATGGACCAAGTACCCCATCCCTGGCATGACAGAAATGTTGCTGACTTTCTACAGTAAGTCACTCATATTGACCTCAATTAATGCTTCAGAATTCCCAGGAGCTCCATCACTGTTTGCAATGCTCTCTATATTGGCGCTCTATCTCTTATTGAGCTGAGCATGTCAGAGTTGCCTCTGAGAGATTACAAACTCTTTGAAGAAAGTATTCTCTAAAAGAATAGAACAGAGAGAATCCCTCTGGGAGTCGACTACTTTAAAAATGGGTTTTAAAATGCCAGTGTTGGAATGCATATCATTTTTGCCCTCTTACTTATATATTGTAAAATAATTACATCAATAGAATATTCTCTATATCTTTCACTACCTGCCGTACTGCTTGGCCAGAGTCAGTGCTTGATCAAAAATTGCTAAATATTCAACGAATGCTTTAAAACATAAAGTCTAATATGAAGCTAATACTGGGAGCATCCTAGAGATAACCCAACCCTATGATCCTCATTTTTAAGGAAACTGAGTTACTAGAAAACTAAGTCACTCACCCTAGTGAATATCAGAATATCAGAAATAGGACAACCTGAGAGTTATGGTATATTTCCAGCTGATGGGCATTGTGGCTGGAATCCCAAAGTGTGGGATTCTAGGAATTAGGGAATCCTTCTCTTAGTTATTAGACTCCAGGCTGTGGAACCCAAGGTAAATGATGCCTTTTCTTCCTTCTACAGGGGAGATAACTCTGGATCCCGCAACAGCCAATCCCCATCTCATCCTATCTGATGATTTGAAGAGTGTCAAATGTGTTTCTGTTCCACAGGATGTGCCTGACAACCCAGAAAGATTTGACGTTTCTCTCTGTGTCTTGGCTACTCAGAGATTCACCTCAGGGAAACACTATTGGGAAGTAGAGGTGGGGAATAAATCAGAATGGGAAGTGGGCATCTGTAAAGAATCAATCAGAAGGAAGGGCAATGTCTTCAACTTATCTAAGGATAGACATACCCTTGTAGCCTTGGAATTTGGAAATGACTTTCTCCTCTGGTGTTCATATTTTGTTATTCCTATAGGCCAACCTATTCATAAGATGGGCATTTTCCTTGATTATGAAAAAGGGCATATAGCATTTTACAATGCTACAGACGGAACTGTAATCCACAGTCCTCCAGATGATGCTTTTCAAGGGCCTCTTTGTCCTTTCTTTTCTCCTAGCTTTAGAAATGTGAAAATCGCTCCTGGACCTCTATGTATCTGCCCCAGGAGTAACTAGTAGAATGCTGAGAAACATGATAATGACTACAGTGAGATTTTCAAATTCAAGCAACTAAAAACAATACCCAAATGACTTTCCATTCGTTAGAACCCATGTGAAATATGTAAATAAAGTTATAAAAAAAGAACAAGTCCTCTCTTATTTATACTGTGTATCAAAACTAGTGTGCCTCATTTTGTATCAAAACCTAGTGTTGGATACCTCACTGTTAACTCACAGAGATAACTGGTGGTGCTCAGACTAGGCAAACTACACATGCATGATGATTTTCCTATAGCCCAAGGAATTGGATGACACGTATAATTGATCTTTCTAAGATATAAACACATAATTTTATACGTATATTCAAACATATATATGGATACATATATAATGCATGTGTATACTATATATGTGTGTATATATATATATACAGACATGTTTACATACATATAACTGTGTGTGTGTGTGTGTGTGTGTGTGTGTGTGTGTGTATGTAACTCTGGAACTTTTCCAAGGATTATTTATTTTAAAATTTATAACAGATATCGAATTTACTTCTTGCAACACATGGGGACATTATTAACCTTCTCCTTTCTACTAGCTCAGGCCCTAGGGTGGAAAAGGGACTTAGGTTCATAGTTGCATGTTGTATGTTCATTTTCCACAGAGTCATAGTCCTAATGGCAAGTCTAAAATCTCCTTCCAACTTGAGTCTCGCACCAATCTATCTCAAGACTTAGTATAGTACTTTGAACAAAATAAGTGCGCAATAAATGTTGAATGATGGAGATATATTCCTATACCCATGTACATGTGTGTGTGACCATATCCATCCATATATATTTATAGACGTACATATACTGTATATGACCCCTGTAAAATAGAACTACAGTTTATTAGCATAAGACATTATATATTCATACAAAACTTTCTGATGATAATGGACATTTCCTATTCACTAATGGCATTAGAGTCCTGCTTTGTCCCAATTGACCTGACTACAATGACTTTTCATTGCTTAAAGAACTCAACATGGCTCAGATTCTTTAAGAGGGGGGCCTACTCCTCTTGGTGAAACAATAGCACCCTAAACCTCAAACCCCAACATTTTGGTGGCCTGTATAGAGAAAGTTCCTAACCCCAAACTCTTCTCCAGCCAAGACTGAAAGGTGTATAAGCCTCTCCCCTCTTTCTTGCCTGCAGTTAGGATTGTTCTCCAAGCACCTAGGAAGGCTTGGAGGTTGTTTTTGGGCAGACAGTTACAAGGCTGTCTCACACTCTCCATAATGATCTCAGGTCCACTGGTTTGGTTCAAGGCCTTGGACCTGGGTACACCTTCTAAATCATAGAGGACAAGGATGGATGCCCTATCCAGAGGCGTATGCCCAATTCTGTCAATCCTCTCAGCACTAGAGAATTGGAAAAACTGCAGGTGCTTTTTGGTTCCCTGAGGCTTACTTATTCCCTTCCCTCTACACCCCTGAATCTTCCTTCAAGGAGGCTACAGGGAAAAGTTAGAACAGCTAAACACATCTTAGCAGATTCTGGAGGTTTTGGGATCAATCATTAAGGAGCTTTGAAACGATCACTCACTTCTCCCACTCCTTTCCTTTGAGTCAAGAGGGTACCTGTTAATCCCTCTCATAGGGGAAGAAAGTTGCACCCTCCCCCTCATCTTTGAATTCACACTCTCCCACCTGGTGAAAGGAAGGAGGGGGCAGGGGCAGCAGCTACTTTGTGGGCTCCACTGGCAATGGCCTTGGGCCCTGGGGCAACCTTTGGTTGGAAGCATCACCCAGGTTCGGCACATCCTGCTCAAGGTAAAGAAGCTAGCCTCCGAACTTCAGTAGGTAAGCACGCTCTTTTAAAGTTGTAGTTTTAACTGTTAATGAGATGTTGATTCTCTGTGTAAAGTAATTTGGAAACGCACTTAACAAAATTGAAGTCAACTGATCGGTAATGGGTTTGTTTCAAGTTTCAAATTGGTAAACTTTTTGTACCAGTTATGTCAAGCAACTTTTCATAATTTGGTTACAGCCAAAATTTTGGCTGTTATTGGTTATTTTGTTTAATGTGTAAACTTGTCAAAAAGTTTCTTTGGGTTATGGCTTGTTGAGAATTTGCAAGTATATAGAAATAATCTAACAATTGGCTTTTTATACCAAGACAAATTTAAATTTGAGATGCAAACCTTGGACAAAGTTTCCCTAAGCTGTGATTAGTGAAATTTGTTGATTGAGGTAAAAGTTCATGGGACCATAAATGATTGTATTTTGAGTTGTCTGATGGATCATCATAATCTATCTATATTCAATAGTCAATAATCCACCATTGAGAGAAATGCCACAAGCTTCTCAGAGAAAAGTCTGCATCAAGAAAAGCTGAGAGGACAAGTTTAGCCTCAGTCTAAGATGGGATCCTCCTGGCTCAGTTTCCCCATTACGTTCCTTTGAAAAGGAATGCTACCCACCTGGCCATTCCTAAGTCTAGCTATGAGATGGATTTGATATTGCATGGTTGGAAAACTGTGAATTATCTGAATTCAAGAAGAGCTAAAGATGTTTATCTTGAAATGTTTGGGCCCTAAATCTCATCCTGGCTTTATCTTTTATAGCAAATTTCTATAGTAAGAGCAAGTAGAAAAAGATATAAGCACAATGGAAGTGTTTGAGATCTGGCTGTTTTGACCTGAACGTGTAGTCATTCAATACCCCTAAACAACTGAAATTAAATCAGAAACATCTGCAGTTTGGTTTGGGTAAAATCATTTTCAGTGATAATTGAAGTCAAAGTCAGTCTCTGGCAAATTCATTTGTGTAACAATTGAACCCAGGGGTGGAAAACTTCTACCTGCAAAACTGTTACTTAAACTTTTGAAAAAGTAACAAGATCAGATAATCCTGCAGGTCAAATGTAAATGATTTTAATGGGGCTCTTACACTTTTACTTCTCCCTATATCTGGGCCCTGCAGTCTTTTCTGTCAGATTGTGTCTTCCAGACTACAGGCCATTCACCTACAGTTGGTAGCAAACAGCAGGTACCAGCCACATCGTTCCCCTGGATGCACCCTGTGCTCAATTCAAGTCAACATTTTCTTTGGGACCCCTTTGAGGCAGGGGCAGCTCCTGGTCCCTTGCCAGCAGGAAGCAGTTTCAGAAGCCACGACCTTCACCCTTTGCCCCAAAAGAATTTGGGTCCCATTTCTTTGAGGGAGAAATGGTGTGGATGGGATCTGAACCCTTAAAAGTAAAAGACCATGTCTTTGGCATCTGGAACCCAAAAAGGAAAAGCCCTGGACATTCCCACACGGCCTAATCTTAGGCTTTCACCTGAGGCTATAATCCACTCAACTGGCCTTTCATTGTGGCTATGCCCAATCTCCCAATGCTGTGCTGTTATCCCCCACCCCAATTGCCCCTGGCCACTTCCCACCCTTAATCCTATCTAGACTCCATTCTCTCTTAGCCACTGGTGTCCCTGGGGTTCTGTCACCTCACAGTCACCCCAATTTACTGGCCACTCCCATCCATATCATCCTTAGATCCCTCCTCCAGTCAACCCAGACTACTTGGCCACTTCTAGATCCCTTCTACAGTCTTTCTGTGTATAAGATCCATCCTGGCCACCATTAAGGTGCTCAGATTCTTAAAATCTGGCCCATGCACATTAGCGATACAAATGCTTAGATTTCTTAGGAATCTGGCCAATATAGAGGATTCCTAAAATCTCACCCACCCCAGATCAATGTCTTTGGCAGAGATAAAAAAAAATAACTCAATACAACATAGTTCTTTACATTGGTTATTTTATGTTTCACTGGAACAATCTTTACCTGAAAATACTTAGATCACAACCCATCTATGTATGACCACTATACATATTTATTGAGGCTGGTTTCTGAAAAGCAGAATTTATTCCTGTGGCCATTCTGGAAACTTTTCCAGCAATATCATAGCAGCTCAAGATTTTACTTCATTGGAAAGGTGGCCCAGGGTCACATCCTGGCCATGACGAAGCCTCTGAGGGAGACTTTTACTCCCTATTAACTTTTTATCTTTTTTACTTCCTAAATCCCCATATTAACAAGCATTCTGATCTTTTCTTTGGAATTGGGCTTGGCTTTTGTTTATTTGGGGGATGGTAGATATTTTTATTTTTAATGTATTTTCATTTATTTTATTAAAAAGTTTCCAATTACATTTTTTAAAAATCATACTTAATTTTAAAAATTTTTAGTTCTAAATTCTCTTTCTCCTTCTAACTCTTATCTCTCCCCTTGAGAAGGCAAATAACATGATGTTAATTGTTCATGTTAAATTATGCAGAACGCATTTCCATATTACCCATGTTGGGAAAGGAAAGCACTCATGACAGCGTGCTCACAAACACAGAGAAAGAAAATATAGTGAAAACATTATGCTTGAATCTGCACTCAGAGTTCATCAGTTCTCTCTATGAAGGTGGATGACATTTTTCAACAAGAGTCCTTTGGAATTGTCTTAAACATTGCCTTAATTAGAGTAGTTAAGTCTTTCACAGTGGATCATCATTACTATGTTGCTGTTACTGTATACAGTGTTCTTCTGGTTCTGTTCATTTCACTTTGCATAGTTTTATAAAATTCTTCCCAGCTTTTTCTGAAACTCTCTCTTCTTCCTTTTCTTTTTTGTTCTTTTAGTTTGTTCTGAACTTACAATTTCATTGGTATAGCCAGCTCCTACTATCAATCAAAATTTCCTCTATTATATTTTCTATAATGAATTGCCTTAACAGAGCCTTTTGAGGCTCAGAGTTTCAGTGACTTATCTATCTATAGTTATACGGCTAGTAAATGTCACAACTTATCTCCTTTAAAGTGTTTTTCCCCTGAAATTGTTATAAGCAATTAAGAACCACTTTTCCTCTCATTTTTTGTCATGTATTCATGTTTTCTTTTTTAACTTATTATTTAATTTAACATTCTTTTCTTTTTAAAGAAACATATACCTTTTATTGAAAAATTGAATTTCACCAT